ATGGCCCCGTGTTGGTTTAAACAGCCCGTGCGATTACATGGTCAAAGAGCGGTTTATGTTCAGGTCAAAAACAATAAAAGTGATATGGACACAAAACCGAAACAACGAAAACGTTGTGCACAATAATATTAGAAAAAAGGATTAACACTGATTCGCTGCAACACACCTGGGACATTGGATCTTGATTTTTTTTGCTTGAGACATGGGAACTTTCGTACGCGTATTTCTGTTGTTAGGCTCATTCCCCAAACCAGAAATGCACATCGGGAGCAGGCAATAGTAGTTGACGTGTGAACATCCCAGCTAGACATAAGCCATTTATCATGCCAAAAGATGTTTGCCTTTTCCACAAAAGTCGGTCCATTTCGGTGAGTGCTGCGGTTGGCATATTCCGCTCCTTCTTGGAGAGTGAAAGGTGAAGGATTTTTTGACTAGTAACAGTGGTCACTTTAAGGGAAGATGCCACTATTCCAAGGGTGATGGGGGGACGTATTTTACTGCCAAGGTGAATATGATCCTTAAGGACTGCTGAACCAAACCTAATAGACGATTATCTACGGAAGTTTAAAGGTAACTTTCCAGTTCGAATTTTGATGGTGCCGCGACGACCAATTTTCCGTGCACTTTTGGCGAATCGTACAAGCTGGATTTGAACGATCGCTTGAGGCACATAGTAAACCATTTGGACCGTATCTGGAAAATACATATGAATTAGCGGCACACGATTGAAATAGACCTTAATTAAAGAGGTGAATCAACATAATTGGTCAGAGATTGGTTCACATCTCGCACCTCCTCCCCTTGATTTGCATGCCAGCCTGAGCAGCGTGTGTGCATTTTTTCCTCAAATATTATAGTGAGTTTTCCGTTTTTTCTCACAATGGATCAACCCTTTCATCGGCATTGATTCTTTCTCTCAGCTCGTTGAATTAAAACATTCAGCCATTCGCCCTCTTCGTTCTAGATAAATTCACCATAACAATGCAGAAGATCTTCAACGTCGTGCAACAAGAACCAGTCGCCGATGTCATGCCAGTTGTCCAAGAGGAAGAAAACGATGTGAGAAACCGTAACTTGTTGACTCCAACCCTTACTGCATAATTTTTATCCTGGTCGCCCACATTTTTACTTTTTTCCACTCGCCTGACACATTCAGCGTCTAATTAATCCCGAGTGGTGGATGAGTGGCGATGTGCTCTCATTGTCCCCACGCCGACTATCAGTCGCTCATCATTTTGCTTCACCCGGATCGAAAATGGATATGGTTCTGCTGCCATAGCCTAATCTAGTCAATTAAAGTGCTCTTCGGCTAGATATACACAAAGACACGAATGCCATGTTCTCTTGGCACGCGGTTTTACACCTCCCTAAAATTTCATTCTGGCCCCCAACCTTCCCTCCGTGTTTCCAATTTCCTCTTATGTTTCTACGGCTATTTGATCTGCAATCACTTACTTATTCCCTCATGATCCACCAGATGCCCAATCTAGTGATGGGTTTCAGTCACTGTGCCCAAGATCTTCGATGTTGCTCTGGAAATCGCTTGTGAACAAACTAATCACCTAGTCCCTCCCTACGCCATTACTCTGCAGGTGTCTGTGAGCTTGTTCGCCTACCACCGGTATGATAACACTATTGCCCGACGTCCGTGTGTCTTTCATGTTATTCGGACATAAATAGGATTGTGATGTCAACGCGAAAAAATAGTTCTCCAGCATTAATCGGGGTTGAAATAGGTATGACCGATGTCTCTATTGGATCTAGTCATCACCACCTGTGTACTTCGATTGCGGATCTGTGTGATGCCAAGATCCGCACTTTTTCACTCCTGTTTTAATGCAGCCATCAATAGGCTCTTCCTTACGTGTAAGCTCAATCTGCTACTGTACAAAGCCGGATCAAGATCAGGTGCGTAACCTCGTCACCCCCAAAATTTTTTACCAGAAATCTAAAGTCACACCGCGAGTGGAGCGATGAACCAATGTTTTGTAGTGAACGTTGTTTGTACATTCATAATAGACCCAGTGAGGCAGAGAGTTCCGTATAGTCTTTGATTCACTGTAGCCTTGGGAAATCGGTTGCCAAAGAAGTATATTCTGTTCTTTGCAGCCGTGATACTGATTTTCCGGAGAGAAAGACTCAACGTTTTAGTGATATACACTACATAAATTACCCTGAACCGTTATGGGTACCTCGCTAACTTCTGGTAGACCTGGGTGGTATCGAACTTACTGGTCTCACACTGAATGCGATAGACGACCAAACCGACGAAGCCCAATAAGTACTAACCGCGTGGTACAAGCGATAGACGACCAAACCGACGAAGCCCAATAAGTACTAACCGTCGTGGTACAACTATTCTGGTTAGGCTGCACTGAGCAAGGGGAGCGGTAGAATGGAATTTCGCTCATTTTGGAGCACATCAGCAGTTCAGACTCTTGATCTTGCAGCAGTATGAACCCCGAAATTTCACACGCTAGAAACGCGTGTTAACACTACTCCACCGGCGCACGCTGACGAGACTGATCAACCAAACATGTACGAGTCTGAGTAGCCTGTGTTATCGGTAGATTAGAAGCTATTGTTCCTTCGCCTACCTAGGATTTGGCATGGTCGAATGGTACCAATTCAAACATCATCCATCAAGCGGTTAATTTTTAGTGTTCGCGGCTATAGTTAACACCAGGATGCTAGAAAGCGTGAGTGCACTAAAAGGAGGCGAAAAAACTGTTTACCAAAGACGTTTTAAAGTTTGGCAAAAACAGGTCGTGGTATACAGAGGCGTACGAAATTTGCAGGCAGTTATCAAAAACTCAGCTTAAGCCTGGCATATGTGTTGGATGTGGGAGTCTAAGTTATTAGTCCATGGAGCCAGCGATGCTCAGTGAAATCTAAGCAAAACTGGTTACGGACCACAAAATACGCACAGATATCGAAATCCAAATGGACGGCACCGGTGAGACCTCTGCATTTGGATAACGACTTGTCACAGTCGTTTACTCTCCGCCAAGAAAGAACATGAATGAAAATTAAGCCTACGTGAAGAAACACATGCGATCACGTGGGCCAGACTATTTTCTCAACAACGGAGAACAGGAAGAAAAGCATCTCGCTCTGCTGAAGGCTGTTTCAGCACAATTGGACGAAGGAGAATCATGGAAAACAGTGGCAACTTAATGCTTGACAAGACTCGATAGCGGCTCGGACATTAGAAATAATGCTGTACATTGCGCGTAAACGCTGATAACATAAACCATAGAGAATATTATAAGTTTGTAAAAGTGAAGTCATTTTGAAGCCAATAAAATGTTAGTGAACAAGGGTTGGGCCACAGTTGCAATCTGATGGAGTCAGTTTAGACGAAGATCCAACCAGAGGATAAAGAAGGCCTTTGAAGGGCGATGAGGCCAAAGAAACCAACCCTGAACGGGATAGACATCAGTGCTTCCATTGAACCTGCTGCCACGGAATTTCCAGTGCAAATTTAATTTGACGCAACTTTCGTCACACATGACTTTTCAGTCCAAATGTTCAATAAGGAACCCATTCTATCGAATGATTTTACTCTAGACCACATAAACTGTCCTCAGGCTTAGAAACTTCCGCACCATAATGCGGCTCTTGTCGCGCACAATCACGAAGATTCCATAAAATTTTTTAACGATATTCTGGTGTATTGCCGGGGAAACCCAGAACTGGAATGGGGAACTACTTGGTGTCACATACCGGAATACTCGATTTTCTCCAATTTCTTACTCATGATATATTTGGGCGGGTTATCGTTAGTATGAAAGAACAATCTGGAAATTCCCTTAAATTTCCAACGCTTTTCTGTCACTAGTAGTGGTGTTATCAGGGCACATATTACATGGGAAATCTAGAGTAACTCGGCACCATATTGACCTTTCCGCCGCAGGCAGACCTCACAGGTACAGTATTTCCATCCAGATATTGCACGGTTTGTCCTCTCAGTTATATTGTCTATTGCCAACACTGTCAGGTAAACTAATTAGGCTTTAACCGTAGACAGTTTCACGGACAACACACTGTGTAGAGAACTTTGTGTAGCATTCGAGAACAATGGAATTAGCACGCTTCAAGTTTCAAGAGACCCACAGACCCTGTCTTCCCGGTCTCAGTTTCACTTCAACATGAACATTCGGCTTTGAGTAACCGAGTGCGCACAGATCCACCTGAAAACCCAATTCAAATCGAGACCACGATGAACGTCCGTGTAAAATAAGGCGGTAGTGATAGCCGCTGTAGAGAAACACTTCGGTCGATTGAGTTCAGCACTGGAATTATCTCTGAAACCAAACGATCAATAAACTGAATCGCCAGTCCATTTTGTGCTTGTTAGCAAGTCAAAACTTCAGCGTGGGGAGATTCGGTAGGGAATTCATAGCTAGAGTAGATGGTAGGGTTAGCCACTGCGGTGTTGCTGCATCTACGCGAGTCGCAGCAGCGTGCAACATAAATCACTCTCGTTCCACATAATGCGAAACTTCACTGATGTACTCACCACTATACTCTCACCATGTCGTTACCAACATGTAACATCCAAGTAATAAAACTAGAAAAACATGCGTTTGGTAGACGTTGATGCGGATGGCTTCGATTGCGAATCCACTAGGGGAAATCACTAATTCTGACTGTTCGTCAGAAAGTTATTTCACTACTCCGGGAATTTATTCCAGATCACGAAAAGAGGAGAAACATGGTACTCTAGGACTAGAAATTCGAGTTGCGTGAAACTCCGACTATGGTCTCAAGATCCATGTTCACATGAATATATATTTTGGAATGAGTAGTTTCTTATTTATACACCGTACACGTTGGGCGACGCAATTACTCGTCACAAATGTTCCCTACGAAAAAGTATAGAAATGGTCCCAAAACGATCTAGGTTTGCCTCTCAAATCCGCAGAAATAATTTCAAGGTCTGTTGAAACCACACACTCACTATTCAGTTCGTGACCTACTCCACCCATCATTTTCAAGGCTGCTGACTTGGGTTTGTGGCTGCACGCTTCGATTTGACTGAAATCAAGAGCTGATTCACACTATCACCAAAGTGTGACCAGGACCATATTGCGAACCGGGTGGATGATCGAGAAACACGTATGAAATCACGTGTGATGTCACAGTGAAAGAGACCAACACAAACAGCCATATGACAAGAGTACTTGAGCCGAACAGTCTTGCCGGTCAAAACTGAGTCGACACGAGCCGTTAATCGATGGGTTTTCACTAATCGATTAACATCGATGAAACCGAAACTGGAACTGACCAACCGATCGACTTGGCGTCACACATTGATAAAGCAAACAAATCAAAATATTCTATCTACGAGATAGTCTAAAATACTCCTTCTCCGACCTGGAATTTAATTAAATCAAAGTGCAAAGATCTCTAAGAGTATATTAAACAACGTTGTCATTTTGACCTGGGAAGCTATTGCGAGCGATTTCCCTTAGCTTTGGAAATACCGACTAACTGAGGGATGGGCATCTTCTGGTGCTCTGCGTTAAAATTTCCCCCATTGGCTGTGCTGTACGGTCGTCTTGTTTTCCACCCAGCTCGCTTCCAAAATAGTTGCGCGTCATCCTCTTAACCAGAAATTAAACTCCTTCTATACTTAAACACTACTTTGGAGCTAAGCTGTGTTAAAGTGACTGCGACGTGAAGGCCATATTGATGGAGCCTCCAAACTGTCAGGACAAAGGTCCCATCACTTGTGATGTTCATTTAGTATGTAAATGTTTCGCATTTGGCTGGCCATCCTAGAGGGTCTGCAGGGGAAAAAAGGCTCCTCTATATAATACTAAGCCAACTAAGCTTAAGGGTCCCAGAATAGTTGTTGCATTCTTCTCCGCAGATAAAGAGCAGGAGGACAAGTGGATTGTCGTTGTGCAATTTAGGTTTAATCCACGAAACGGTGAGATGAACTTAGCAAATGAACTCATGGATCCATGAATGAGAGTTTGTGATGTACACAGATATGGCTTTTCTCCTTTCCACTGTAACTTCGAATGCTTTAACGAGTAAATTTCAATCCCACTGTTCATCGTGCTGCAAAGATCAGCCAAGGTTTCAGGTGG